TCAACAAAAATTTTTGATTTTTCCAGGCCCCTTTCAAAAACACATTTGAATGTCCTCTTTGCCGTTTCAATGTTCCCTTAAATGCAAAAAAGACTAGAAATTATGCATTGGAAGCTATTCTTGATTCACTCGAAGTTTATGATGAAGGAAGTAGTGAAATGGAAATAAATGATAGTATTGCTGCGTTACAATATGCGGTAAAAAAGTTTTGTAAGAAGTTTTAAAAAGGGTAAAAATAAGAAAATTTGAGACGGGTACAGCCCTAAACGGCGCGCGGCGAGACATATTTTATAACTTGCTAGAATATGTCTGGCCCTTATCAATTTTGGTACCAATTTACTTAGCTCGTTGAGAGGAATCGTCTAAACTAAATTTGCTGAGATTCGGATGGAGTCGTTATGGCCGCGCGTTGTTTTGGGCGTGTCCGGCTAGGGTTCACCTTAGCAACACACTGAAAGTGATGTTTTTCTAGTGTAAAAAGATGCGCTGAGTTAAAAAAACACTATAAAAGTACTCAAAACGGTGCTCGAAGGCATTTTTTCCCGGATTTTCAGACCCCTGAAAATCGAAAACCAAAGGGGGGACCAAGCTGATTTTTGGGGTCAAAAATTCGAATAGACGAATTATACCTCATTCGAAAGAGCTCGACGAGCTGAGTTGAATGACACCAAAATCAACGAAATCTGACATGATTTGACAAAGTTATGACCGTTTGTTTTTACCCCTTCCACAAGGTTTTCGCGGAAAAAAGTTTTTGCCGCTGCGGAGGAAGCCGGGCATGTCGAGCGGAACGACGGCCGCCGCTTCGCTACGGTCGCCGCGAGCGCAGCGAGCACGACCGCAGCGAAGCACGGCCATCGTGTAGCGAAGACCATGCCCGGCCTACCCTCCGTAGCAGCACAAAAACAGTTTTTCCAGCGAAGATTCTGTTGGTCATAACTTTGTCAAAAATCATCCAATCGAGCTGATTTTGATGCCATTCAACTCAGCTCGTCGAGCCCTTTCGAATAAGCTATTATTTGTATATTCGAATTTTTAAACCCCAAAAACAGCTTACGCCCCCTGACCATTTCGAGCCCGATGAATTTTTTTAATCTTCAAAAAAATGCCTTGGAGCACCGTTTTGAGACCTTTTATAGTGTTTTTTGAACTCAGCGCATTTTATTACCCTAGAAAAACGTGGTTTTTGTTGTGTTGCTAAGGTGAACCCTTACCGCGTGTCCCATCTGAGACGTTTTTCAGTATTTTGTCATTTTTGGTGTAGTCGGATAATTTTAGGTTCACGTATTTTGCAAGGTAGGAAGTTCGACCCCTTTTCTTGAAAAAACATTTTATTTGAGTATATAGATTGTCTGTTTTAAAATTTAATTCATAATGGCAATATACACAAAATGCCATTTTTTGTTCCTTTTGGCTTAGTGGGATAATGCTGAATTTTTTGTTTAAATAGGGTGAAGGTTCGAACCCTTTCGTGTTCAAAATTTTTTTATTACAAAGTTAAGTTAATTTAATCATTAAAAATTCAATATAGACAAAATATCCTTACCAAATAAATTTTCTTTAATTAAAATTTTGAAGAATAAACGACTTAAAGCCGAAAAACAAGAACAGCAACAAACAATTGGAGAATTAAATAACCAATTAGAATATGCTAGAAAGACAATAATTCGAATGATTACTTTATTTGGTTTAATTGGAATTGCTTTGGTGGCTGGGTTATTGGCAAAAGAAGTGTGGAAATTTTTTTGAAACTTCTAAAATTAATTATTTTTAAAATTATTTTAACGTTATTTTAAAATAAAATTAAATGGACAAATATTTTTTTGGAGAATTTTCAAGACCGCAATTTTTCCTAGACTTAAGACCAAGACTTGACCCAAAGACTCAAGACCAAAAACCTCCAAAATTCTCAGAATTTGCGCCTGCGGCGCATTTGAATGTATAAAATATGTATATTTCTCTAAAAATCTCTTCAATTTAAATATTTTTAAAATTCTTTAGTTTTAATAAAATTAAAATTAAAACAAATTTTCTTCAATTTATCGACATTTGTTTAAAATAAAAACAATTTAATGATAAATATCAGAAAATAAAGTCAATAAAATAAATTTAGTGTTTCCTACCAAGACCGCTAAATCGGCCTCATTGAACACTTGTTGCCAGTAATATACTGGATGTTTTTGTGTGACTTGTTCAGAAAATTTAAATTAGAGACAGAAATTTCTTGTTTAATTTCTATTTCTAATTTAAATTTTTGCCAGATTTTTGAAACTGTCTTTGTGAAACATTTACCTCTTAGTATTGAAAAGTTATAATTTTTTAGTATTTCTAGTAGAGATCGGTCTGGAACCAGTCTGGATTTTTCCTGGATCCAGTCCAGGTCAATAACCCAAAATCCAGAGTCCAGACCCAAACGATTTTTATGTCTGGATTTCCTGGATTAAATCTGGCTTCTTGCTCCTTCAAATTTAACAAAATTTTTAGCGCCTAGAAATTAAAGAAATTTGGCTAAATGTGTTCTTCCATATCTTTTCAAATCCTCCTATACCCTTCAAATCCCTTCATATATTGGCCTTCTAAAATCCTATTCCCCCGTAATCCTCTGATATCCCTCAAATATCTCAAGATCTCTTAGATTACTTAATCCTCTGATACCAGGGTGACCCTTTCAGCATATTTATAGAGGATTTTGCCTTTTCTCTCTATTTTCTACATTTGCCCTATTTTCCCTTATTTTTATCATTATGTAATACTTTTAAAAGTTTTGGCATTTTGTAAATAAAATAGAAAAAAGGCGCAGAAAAGGAATTTGACCAGTCCCCAACCAACCAATCCTCCCCTAGTTTTGACCATTTTCTACCTATTTTCCCCCTATCTTTGAAATAATCCAGAAATCAAGGCAGGATCCAGATAAAAAATCCTGGATTTTTTCTGGATTTGGATTTTTCCTGGATCCAGATAAAAAATCCTGTCCAGGTTACTAACCTAAATCCTGATCCAGGATTTCTGAAATACCATCTCTATGGCTCTTATAAAGGAATTAATTCACTGACATTTGATAAATCTCAGCAGGATTGCTTTAGAAATATTTGATTGAAATAATTCAAAAATCTGGCTATTCAAATTTAAATACTTTTAAAAAAAGCCATAAATGACATCTCTAGCCAATATCTTCTTCAGTAATTTCCTTGATATCCACCATAACCACTTCCATGTCCTGGGTCATACTTTTGACCATCACCATAACCCGTTTGGTATCCCGAGTCATGATGATGTCCTCCACCTTGGCCACCTTGATATGCAGCGTCATAATTTTGTCCTTCACCATGACCACTTCCATATCCTGAGCCATAATTATGTCCTCCACCTCGGCCACCTTGGTTTTTTGAATGGCGTCCTCCGCTATGACCACCTTGATGTCCATATCCCGCAATTTGATGAGATTGTGATTTTTTACTGCTGATTTGTCGACAATATTCACGTATCTTGAATTGTTGTTTATTGAATTAATAATATTTAAATGCTCAAAAATAAATGATGATAATTTGTTATAGGATTTTTAGGTTTAAACTCTTAAATACCGTAAATATGCTCGAATAATTACCCTGGGTAATTATTATTTCGACGTCTCGCTGGAGGGGTAAATTATTCGGTAATCTCCCTTTTCCCCTTCATCAATAAATAGTAAGGAAGATTGTCAATTCGAGCCAGTTTAAGTGAGGAAAAATACGAAACCGGCATCTCATTCTGTAAATAAACGTTTTTAGCCTATTGTCAATTTAATTACCATATTTCCGAAAATAGAACCCCATGGGGCTCTATTTTTCAACTACCCTCCAGAGTGGGGTTCTATTTTCGGAAATACGGTATTCGTGTTTTAATTTATTTGCATTGTTAATTATTTTTTCCCACAAGAATATAGGTAGTAAAAACTTGCATGGATTGTTATCGGAAGGTGTTTCTGTGGCAGATATTGATTATATTTAACATAATCTCCATGGATCTTCAGGTAATTCCCAAATAAATTTTTCCTGTATTCCTCATATTCTTTATCAATCAAAAAAGGATTTATGAGGCGTTCCTCAAGTTTTCGTTGAACATTTTCGTCAAGCCCATTAAAGTACAGATGGAAGTGCTCAAATTCGTTTTTTTCTCCTGGAACTATGCAAGCTTTTTTAAACTGTTTACAATCTTCAGCAGTTATTTCTTCATTTAAAACTAAAAATAATAATTATTGGATTAGTTTCTGAAAAACACACTTCGAAAAAATTATATTATGATTTAAATTAAATAAATTTTTGATAAAATTTTCTACATTGGAGTTGTATATTTAGTTTTTAGCTAAGAATTTTAAACTGGAATTTTTGTAAATTTTTCCTCTCGTTGGAAATAACTTTTGGAAAGTGGATGTAAGTAGTTAACCATACCATTTTGTATCCCTTTTTTACCGCACTTTCTTAAAGGTTTTGGACGGTGCCCGCCCCTTTTTCTTTGATCCCTTTACCGAAACAAAGTGGTATGGTTAACTACTGTATACTTATGGATGTATACTTATGGGACACATATTTAACAAATAAATACCTGCAACTTTTGATAGAATGATTATGCTGCATTCGCTTAATCAAATAAACAATTTGCATTTTCACATGCAAATATAAAGTTGACCCATTTCTAATTATAAAGGTCTCCCGACATTCCCAACCAATTCTTGACTCTTATCTTTGTTGTTCACTTTCCGTATAAATATTGACCCTTAAATTGTTCTATAATACCCCTGCCTTTTCCTCATTATCAGATTTGGCCTAGCCATTTCTCTTCCTTATTATTTTATCCCATATTTATATGGAGAATAAATTAAATGGAATAAAGAAATATTTAAATAATGTAATTCAGTTTAATAGAAGTCCCCAGAATAGTAGAACCCGAGTTAAGCTATATAAATCCCAAATATAGCAGATTAAAATTTTTTCAAAATTAAAAAAAATTTTCATTCAAATCCGTTAACAATTTACGGACTTAAGCCACAAAATATCGGTGGATGTATATTTTTGGGACAGTGTAGTTTTCAGGTTTTCAATTTCCGTAAAATTTATTTTAACTCTAGAGAAATAAAATATCCTACCAACGTATTGGTAAATCTTAAAGTCTACATTCTCTTTGTCAATATTTTCGTTTTCTTCTGAAACCATTGACGTAGGTAGATAATTTGCATTTTCGGTTGTTTCAAGTGAAACTCCCTCATTCTTTTTATAAAATTTTTTTCTCATCATTTCTAATATCCATTCGTTTGCCTTTGCTTCAAAAAGGTCATAAGCCTTCATATATTTCAAAAGTGAAACTGAAACATTCATTCCCCTTAAAAATATTATTTCTGTTCAATTAGATTATATTACATTGTGTAATGAAAAGAAAGATCCAGCTGCCTAGCATTTAAAACGCTCACTAGGCGGGGGTTTAAGAACTATTAAAAGAGAAGGTGAAAGCAGCGTCCCGTTAGCTCAGTTAGTAAAGCACCTGTACGTGGTGAGCGAAGGCGCCTAGCAATAACTGCTAGGAGGTCGCAGGATCGAAGCCTGCCCGGGATTAAACTTTTACCTCGCTCTTACTATTATTAGATTTATTTAAAAAAAGTTTTTAAATCAGGGAGCGGATCTCGAATTTTTAAACATTTTTTTGTAATGTTCAAAAATTCGACATTTTTCGACATTTTGATTTTTCTGCTTTACAGAAAAATTCAATTTAAACTTTATTTGTAACTAAAATCGTCATTTTATAAATATAAAAATTTCCTGGCTCCTCTAGCTCAAAAAATCTACTTTATTGCGCCTAAAGGACATTTTGAGGATTTTGGAAGGTCGCAAGAGAAAAATGACATTTTATTATAAAAGTGCAATAAAATATAAAAAATCCTCTATTCTTCAAAATACCAAAAAGAATCCGCAAATCCGCATTTTTAAAAATAATCTTATCGACCTATCAGAAAATCACAAAATAATGAAGACCGCAAATATGTATCCGAACCTTGTTTAAAATTATCGTGAAAATATAAATAAAACCTACGGATTAAACCGCTCAACCAAGTTGTCATAGTATTTATTTGTACTATGAAATTCAAAAAATGAACGGATGAACTTTCGGGCAAAAACAAAAAGGCCAAACGTTATGCGGTAATTTCTTTCATAGTTTGATATTTCTGCTGGACAGAGAAAATCATTATACACACCAATAACCTTTTGAAATAATTTTTATAAATCATTAATAGGGCTGTCAAAAATATGGATGAAAAACCCTCTAACTGACCACTGTCTTTTTAATTTTAACTCATCACTCATTCGAGCAGACACGCAGAATTTATGAGTTAATTAGAGGAAATTGGCGGGAAACTTTGGGGGGAAATGCCCGCCAATTTCCTCTAATTACTAGAGGTCGGCAAAATCGCATTTCCGGGAACCCGAGTCGGGATTTTTTTTCTTGACCGATGCCAGGACGGCATCCCGAGGGATAAATCCCGAAAAAATCCCGGATCCCGAATAATCCAGAAAATCACAAAAATCCGGGATCCCGGAAAATCCCGTCGGGATCCGGTCCCGCGCCGACCTCTACTAATTACTTCATAAATTCTGCGTGTCTATTTGAATGAGCGATGAGTTGAACGCATAAAGACTGTGGTCAGTTATGGTCGGTTAGAGGGTTTTTCATCCATATTTTTGACAGCCCTAGTCATTAAATTGTGTATTCACCATTTTAATTTTATCGCAAGCTACACCGTGGCAATAAAAATCTATAATTTGTTCTAAACTAGATTGTTCATATTCTTCTAATATTTCGATTGTTATACTCTCCAATATTACAATAAGAGAATATAATTCCGTGAGCGAAAAAAAGCTTGGAAATTCTTTATTTCCAACAAATGTTGTCTGAAATCCCTGAACCATTCCTTGCAATTCTGAAGCATCTCCTTTCATCAATTGCTTTCCTTTTCCTAAATTTTTAATTTTAAATTCTAATTTTTATTCAAAAAGATTTTTGTAGGATTTTCCAGCCTAAGATATTTATTTTTAAAGACTTACCGCGATCCATTCCATCCGTAAATTGTATTTTAAATTGGCTTATCACAAAATAAAATAACAAAAACAAAAGGAATTTTTTATTTTTTGAAAACTTTAAGGGCTTTCTGTAGAAAGAAAAACTTTGAAATTCAGACGAAAATAGCATTAAACTACATTAAAAGATAGCTAATAAATATACCCTGCTGTTACTTAATGTAAAAATTGAGGTCCTACTAAGGTCCTATGTACTAACTTAAGTGGAATTGAAGAGATTAAATTGCCGAAGTAGAAAAAATGACATTATCACAACATTGTTGTAGATTCAAAAATAACTGAATCTCATGCAACCCAAACATAACTCAGGGTTTCGAAATGTGCGGATTTTTCCTCATTTTGTGTTTTTTTGATAAGGCGCAGAGGATTATTTTAAAAATGCGAATTTACAAATTTTTGATATAAAATGCAGATTTTTTCGATCAAATTTGCGGATTTTTAAAAATTCGAGATCAAAACCCTTACATGACTCAAAGAAAATTTTGATGACTTTCACTTAATAATAATGAAAATTTAAATTGAGCGAATTTATATTTGAATTTTTTCCTTTAAGTTTTCTAAATAAATGATCATATATGGTGTGTATACTCCGAAACTTTCTCTGGACGGGGGTCAGGGTTTTCAATTTTCGGATCGGTATCCGGTTTGGGGAAATGTGAGAAAAATTTTCAGGAACTGAGTCGGTGTATAACTTTTTTTGAGCAAATTCTGGTTGAAATATTGCTGCATTAATCCGCATTTATGAGCTAAAGCAGAGATAACCTTTAACAGTTTTATTTTTGAAAATATAATTTTACCCTTTTATTTTTATTACAGGTATATTAATAAAAATGCCCCCAAAACACTAAAATTTTTTAAGAATTTATATTTTTGAGAAAGAAATATTATGAATGGGTAATATTATTCATTTGTAGGTTTAAATACTAGTAGCATTTATCAGCAAAACCGCTCACGCAATGATTTCTCAATCATGATTAGCCCAAACATAAGTCTGAAAACGAAGAAAAATTCCTTTTTGTTCGATCTCTACTTTTATGAACTCTGTCAACAATTCCTTTTTCTTCGACTCTCTCCTTTTATAAAAACTTGCACTTTTCATCCACCTCGTGAAACGATTCATGTGACGCTTCATGTGCCTTCATTGACTCCCTCCTTTTACAAAAGCCTGACCTTTCCATCCGCTTCATGTGACAAAGAAAAATTCACTTTTCTACGATTTCTACTTTTATGAGCTGTCAGCAATTTTATAAAAACATGCCCTCTTCATTCACATGTGAAGCTTCATATGCCTTCATTAACTCCCTTCTTCCTGCCCTTTTCATCCGCTTCAACTGGCGGATTCCTTTTTCTTCGACTCTTTACATCATGAACTTTATCTTTTTCCTTCAAAGTGATGTGTTAAAAAAGAACTAGACCCATACCTTTTCCTGGAACCGAGATCATGAGACCTCAAAAATCAACGTAAAACGGTGGTAAGAATAAGTTATAAACCTAAGCAACCAATGCTTGCACTTGCACTTTTCATCCACCTCGTGAAACGATTCATGTGACGCTTCATGTGCCTTCATTGACTCCCACCTTTTATAAAAGTCTGCCCTTTCCATCCGCTTCATGTGTCGAAGAAAAATTCTTTTTACTTTGATTCCTACTTTTATGAGCGCTGTCAACAATTCCTTTTTCTTCGATTCTTTCCTTTTATAAAAACCTGCCCTCTTCATTCACATGTGACGCTGCCTTCATTGACTCCCTACTTCCACAGTTTTCATCCGTCTCAACTGTCGGATTCCTTTTTCTTAGACTCTTTCACTTTATGATTTTTATTTTTACTTTCAAAGTGCAGTGTTAGGTCCTAATTTTTCATAGTTATAATAAATCTGAAACTTATTTCTTATTTGATCATCTTTAATAGACACCGAAATTTTCTCTGGTCGGAGGACAGGGTTTTCAATTTTTGGATCAAGACTTAACACTGCTCTTTGAAAAAAATAAAGATCATAAAGTAAAAGAGTCGAAGAAAAAGGAATCCGCCAGTTGAAGCTGTTCAAAATGGCAGAAATGAGGGAGTTAATGAAGGCATATGAAGTGTCACAGGTGGATGAAGAGGGCAGGTTTTTATAAAAGGAGAGGGCACTACTAAAGATGAGGGTGCTATTTCTGCAGACTTTTCTTCCTTTCTTTTAAATGTTTCTTTTCAAATGTTTTGGTTGTTCTGCTTGTAGCAACTAACTGCCAAGGGCCACTAGTATTTCGTGTCCGGTAGTTTCGTCAGAGGTTAGTTTCGACAGAGGAAATTTTCGTCAGAATTAGTTTCGTCAGAGGCTCTTCTCGTCAGAGGTCAATTTCGTCAGAGGGTTGTTTCGTCAGGGATGAGTTTCGTCAGAGGTCCTTTTCGTCAGTAAGGCTCCCTTTTCAAAAATCTAATTAAGCGTCGGTGTTATGACACATACTAGGTTATTTGTTTCTGGGTCGATTTAGACAAATGAGGTGTCTTTCGAAAGAGCTCTGAAAAGCGATTTTTGTGATGAAAAATTCGAGTATACAAATGCAGCTCATTCGAGTCAGCTCGGCGGGCTGACTCCTGCTCGACGAGGTGATACCTCCCTGTGCTTTTTCAGTATTCAGGAGTCTTTAATTCGGTCCCGGAATGTCGGATAAACTTCTTCCACAACTAATTCGACTCAGTTTTTAGAGCTCTTTCGAATGATACCTCAATTATCCAAATCGATCCAGAAACAAATAACCTAGTATAAGTCATAATACCGCCTTTTAATTAGATTTTTATAAAGGGAGCCTTACTGACGAAAAGGGCCTCTGACGAAACTTATCCCTGACGAAACAACCCTCTGACGAAACTGCTATCTGACGAAAAACCCCTCTGTCAGAACTGATTCTGACGAAAATGTTCTCTGACGAAACTAACCTCTGACGAGACGTATTTAAACCTACAAATGAATAATATTACTCATTCATAATATTTCTTTTTCAAAAATATAAATTCTTAAAAAATTTTAGTGTTTTGGGGGCATTTTTATTAAATTAATATACCTGTAATAAAAATAAAAGGGTAAAATTATATTTTCATTATATATTTTCAGTTTTTTCGAAAAATATGTAAAAATGGTCAGCCTGAACAAAAATTGTAGAACCCAGCGAGTTGTGTCGAATGACACCAAAATCGACAAAATCCGACTCGATTTGATCGAAATACAGACCCCTGAAAATTGAACAACCACAGGGGCGAAAAACCAAAAGGACGAGACAAAGATATGACATAAATCGTCGACTCCGGTAGGTCTAAATAAAATCATAACCTTGTCAAATCTTGTCCGATTTCATAGATTTTGGTGTCATTCGACTCAGCTCGTCGAGCTCTTTCGAATGAGCTATCATTTGGGTTAACTTTTTTTATTTCAAAAAATTACCCCCATGGTTGTTCAATTTTTAGGGGTCTGTATTTCGGTCAAATCAAGTCGGATTTTGTTGATTTTGGTGTCATTCGACACAGCTCGATGGGTTCCACATTTTTGCTCAGACTGACCATTTTTACATAATTTTCGAAAAAACTGACTGGGGGGGGGGGAACTAAATAAGTACCAAGTAAAGCAGCTGGGCTATAGCTATTTCTCTCCTTTATCTAGTGCAAAAGGTTATTCGGCGGCTGGTAGCGAACCAGCATCTTCAGTAGACCGGACTGATGTGTTAGCCATTACACCACGCCGCCTACTGCACAGCCTTAGGAAATTAACAGCAATATGCTTTACAGTAATATTATACTAGAAAAAGCTATCCACCCCTAACTTTAAAATTTTGTAGAAAAATATAAATGAGTGAATAATACTACAAAATGACAGGCTTAAATGCTAACAGATTTACAAATGGATGCGCACGCTTCTCGGATATAAATAAGTCCGCCCACAAATTATTAAACAAACGAGTCTCAAAATAAAAATCAAGTTTACTCTAAAATATTTATTTGTTAAAATAAAGAAATTATTTGTTTAGTTAATTCAATTATTATTTAAAATATTGTTTTGTATTATCAAAAATCTTTTCTTATAACAATTGTTAATTAAATTTATTGGAACTCTAAGGTTCTTTGATAGATATAAGCTTACGTGTATATACTTACAAGTACATGCTTGTGTTTACAAGCTATCCCAATGCTCTCCCTTTAATAAATTTTAAAAATTAAATAAAGATGTAGGTTGGCAATTAATGATTTTGAAAGATTCCCTCTCCTCATTAAGTTTAATTAACAGAGAGAGAGAAAATAAGTACTTTGAAAAAAGGCTAATTAATTTTTAAGCGTAAATAATAATTAAAAGTCGCGACTGTTTCAATGTCTTGTACAGGGTGCGGCAATTTAGCGCCGACTTTGTTTTGGCTATAACTTTTTTGATTTTAAACGAAAATTGATAATTCTTTTTTTCCTGGATTCCCAACACTTTAGGAAACTTGTTGATATAAAAATCTTTTCTAAATTTTATAATTAAGTTTGATTAATTTTCTATCAAATTTCGAGCAAAAATTTTTGGATAAAATTTGGCCTGGATTCAAGGCTATTGTTTTGACGTGAGAAATTTACATATCATTCGAATCAGCTCTCCAATCTGATTCGAATGACGTCAAAATCAAGTGTTTATTGCATAAATGGACCGAGATATGACTCTCTGATTGAAAAATTAAAATAAATTTTGCAAATATAAACTTTTTAGGTAAAATTTTCAAAAATGATTTTATTAGCTATTTCGATGCTCCTTATCGAGAGGAGTTGATTGGTACCAAAATAACTCGGATTGGGTTATTCTGAACAAAGTTATGATCAACTAAACTTTGGCATGAAAAATATTTTTAGATTTTTAGGCTGTTCGGACACGTTTTTGTTTCCTCTCAGTGGACCAAATTTTCAATATTTGATATCAACAAGTTTCCTAAAGTGTTGGGAATCCAGGAAAAAAAGAATTATCAATTTTCGTTTAAAATTAAAAAAGTTATAGCCAAAACAAAGTCGGCGCTAAATTTGCCGCACCCTGTAAAATTTTTAAAGTTTTTGGAGAAAATTGAGGTCCTTCAGAATCGTCCCAATACTTTCTGTAATAATAAAATTTCACCCATTTTTGTCGTAGCTCTTGAGGATTCTGCTACACGGTTATTATAAGTACATGGAAACCGCTTGAGTTGGGGGAAAACGAAATTCAACGTTATTTGTTTTTGTCGTCTAAAGGTGTTAAATTTTCTCCAAAAACTAAAAATTTTACCAGAATATTAAAACATAGTCGCGACTTTTAATTATTATTTACGCTTAAAAATTAATTTGCACTTTTTTAAAGTACATATTCTCTCTCTCTCTGTTAATTAAACTTAATGAGGAGAGGGAATCTTTCAAAATCATTAATTGCCAACCTACATCTTTATTTAATTTTTAAAATTTATTAAGGGGAGAGCATTGGGATAGCTTGTAAACACATACATGTACTTGTAAGTATATACACGTAAGCTTATATCCATCAAAGAACATTAGAGTTCCAATAAATTTAATTAGCAATTGTTATAAGATTTTTTCTCCCCATATTTCTCGCAAGTTTTAAAGATTACACGGTAATTATTCATGGCGCATGATTGAATTGGAGAAATTCAACGTTATCTTATTTTGGTGTCTAATATACCGGAATTTTCTCCAAAACTTTAAAAATTTAACAAGAATATTGAATATCACAACTAGAGACCGGAACGGGACCCGATCCCGTTTCCCGGTCCTTTTCCTGGTTTTTTGAAGATTCCGGCTATGAAGCCAGGATCGGGAACTATCTCCAATTTTATTAAACTTTATTAAAACTCTAACAGAACAATTTGACCTACTTAGTAAATCAATAGATTCACTTAAAGAAAAACAACAAGAAAAACAACCTTATGGATATTTTTTAGGGGCAACAAATTTAAACACTACTTCAGCAGAAGAGTTAGAGCGTGAAAGAAGTATTGTTGTAAGTGGTTTGACAGAATCAACCAAAAATCTTCCATCTGAAAACATGGCGGACGATGCTATTGCAATAACAAAACTACTCGACTCGGTGGGGGCACCTAGGTTTTTTACCGTATGGGTCGTGTCTAACCCACCCAAAATGGTCATGCTCGCTTTTTAAAAATTGTTTTAACATCTAAAAAATTTCAGCATGAACTTCTCAAAAAATGGAAAACAAGTGGCAAAAAATTTCTATCTCAAATCAATATGTGGGAATCAATGACACCAGAACAATTACAACGACGAAGAGAACTAATTGAAGAGTGCACAAGAAAGAAGGGAAAATCGGCAATTGGACTTGATAATTTATGGATAAACAATAATTCTCAGATCGGAGGTACACATTTTTAGAAAAAATAAAAAAAATTGACTTTTAAAAACAATTTAAATGAGAAATTTCTGACTATAGATTTTTTATATTTTAATTCGAGAGGTTTAAAAAACAAACTCAAATTTACACCTTATGTTACTAGAAAACCGTTATTCTAAATCATTCGACAAAACGAATCGAATGATTTAGATCAGCACTTGTTCCTTTCAGGCTGCAAGCAAAAATTTTTAATCTTTTCGAAGGAAAAAATTTTACTAAGCTGTTGGCGGATTTTCCCGGAGCATATTTAAAATACACTAATTATAAAATATTTTTTGGTTTAAAAAATTTCAAAATGAAAAAAAAACAATTTTTTGTCAATATTTTCCTCAAAAAATCTTTTAAATTAAATTCCAGGGTGCATACTTCCAATATTTCCAGTTTGCACATTCGGGGTTGGATTTTGATTTCCTCCAGATTTTACAAAACCTCGCCATATACGAAACATCATTAAACCTCCAATAGCAAATAATATACACATAAAAAGTGTTGTGAACTTAAAATATGTTGATTTTAGATAATTTTGAGAAAGTAAAAAATGTTTAGCACGGAGAGGGTTCGAACCTTGGTCTCTTGAGCTTTTCAAAAATACCACTTAACTACACGATATTTTTAAAATTATTTTATAGGCGGATCTCATTTGTAGATACAACCAATATCAGATAAACCTCGGCTTAATTTAATTTTCTAAAATTTTGGTTGGTCGCTGGGTGGGGGCTGACAAAGCGATATAATCTCCTAAGATTTACTTAAATGGTAGTCATGTTCTAGACTCTCGGTCTCGACTCTCAAGTCGGGAAATTTCTCGGGTTTTTTGAGGTCTTGGTCTCTCTCCCTCTTAATCTCTCGGTCTCGACTTTTTTTAACTCTCGAACATCGCTATTAAATAGTAATGGTTAGGTTCGATGTAGAATTATTTAACAAGAATGTCAAAAATTACCGCGGCAACCATACAACTATTTGCTGCATTTTTTTCATGTTTATGAGCTCCAGCCAAAATAAATGTGTTAATAAAATTTGAAAATGTACAAACTCCAGAATAAGACATTTCCTTTTAATTTTTAAAAATTTTTTTGAAGGAAAATTAAATTAATCTAACCACAACAGGCCATCCACTTTCACGGCCGCAACTAAGAATGGATTCGGCTTCGTAAAGAAAAAGAACACAAACACTTGTCATAAATATCTGAAGATTGGATTGATAAAATTTTTAGAGGAAAAAAAATTTTTTTAAATAAATTTTACACCCAAAAAGAAATTTTTGGAAGGAAAGAAACAGATACCGTATTTTCTCGATTAATTCCCTTCCCTCAAATAATTCCCCCTTTCGATTAATTCCCCCTGCTAGGGATGTGTTGAAATAATAATTCCCCACTCCCAATTACCCTACTGCACATTCAAATGCCAAAACTCGAATAATTCCCCTCCCACGGATGGGTTGAAATATTAATCCCCCAGGGGAATTAATCTAGAACTTAATCAAAAGTCACCAAGTATAGAAAGTTTTCTAATGTCTTTAAAAAATTTTTTTTATTTTTTAACCAAAAAACGAATTTTTTGGTAAACCTTACAGGCATCGAAGAAAAGATTTTATTATTAGAAGGAGGGTCTAAAATATTTTATTTTAATCTTCCTAATACCAATTGTAAAATAGAAGTAAGCCAAAAGAACCACATTCCGCCAGGGGTGTCCTTCATTGGCGCCGATGCTACAAGTAAAATGGCAAGGAGTGTGAGTAACTTAAAAAGCAATTTTTGAAAAAATTTTGTGTTCAAATAATTTTTTATTTTCAATTAATTTACCAAAATAAGTGGTTTAAATGCGTTGGGTAAAGAAACAAATCTTTGCAGATTCATTGGCATAATTAATTTAAAAAAATAAATTTAATTAATTGTTGCTAAAATTTATTTTAAAAATTAGGAGAAAAAAATATAAAATAAATAAATTAAAAAAATAATGATAGGAGAAGAAAACGAACATGGGAAATGTATAGATAAAAAATAAATAGATAAAATCTTTGTGGTTAAAAATGAACAAATAATCAGAAAATATAAAGAAACAACAACAAAGAATATATAAGTTAGAAGAACAGAAACACAAATAAAATACAAAATCAGAATAAATACAAAACAGAATAAAATAAAAACATCCAAAGAAAACCAGAATAAAATTAAAACACACTAAAACAGAATAAATACAGAATCAGAATAAAATAAAACATTTACATAGAAAAACCAGAATAACATTAAAACACACGAAAACAGAACAAATACAAAACCAGAATAAAGTAAAAACATTTAAAAAATCAGAATAAAATTAAAACACGCTAAAACAGAATAAATAGAAATCAGAATATTATAAAAACATTAAATCAGAATTAAAAATAAAACACATAAACATACAAAAACAAACACAACACAAATAAATACAAAATCAGAATAAACACAAAAACCAGAATAAAATAAAAACATCAGAAAAACCAGAATAATATAAAAACACAGCAAAACATAACAAATAGAAAACCAGAATATTATAAAAACATTCAAAACAAAATTAGAAATAAAACACATAAAACACACAAAAAAATGAAAAACACAAAAGCAACAAAAAAAATAAAAATTTTTCAATTTAAATAGAATGAAATCTCTTTGTTATTTCTTTTAAAATATTCAAAGGTTTATAAAATTTTAATAAAAAAATAATAATTTTTAGTTTACGTCTCGTGGCATTTTTTAACAAAAAAAAAGAGAAAAGAAAAGGTTTCCTTGGCAATGCGCGAAAAAATTAAAAAAATTATTTTTGGAAAACAAAGGGAAAACATAAAAAGGTAATAATGGGTAAAGGGAACTGTTGTTTTTATGAGAAAAATATTTTTAAAAATTTATTTAAACCTAAAAATGTTTCAGTTAAAGTATGAATAAAAAGAAGAAACAAAAAAATATTTTTAAAAAATATTTTCTGTGAAAAATCACAATAGCAAAAATCAAGAGATGAAAAGAATACTTTTTTTAGCTAAAAGAGAAAATAAATAAAAAAAGAAAAAAATTCAACTAGAAAGCATTGATAGCAAAGAAAATGAAAGAAAAATGGTGGGAAATATTAAAGAAAAAATAATTATAAAAAATAAAATACAACAATGTGTTTGCTCTATTTAAATTAAACACGGGAAAAACACAAATTGAAACAAGCAAAAACATAAAGATTAAAACATGTTAAAAGGGGAAAATAAAACAAAACGTAAAAACACAAAAACAAATAATAAAAACATGTAAAGTAAAGGGAATAGAAACATTGAAAACAGAACAAAAGAAAGGGTAAAAACACAAAACAAAAGCAAATAAAAACTAAATATCAGAACTATGAAAAACAAAAACACAAAAATCAGAACAATGAAAAACAAAAACACAAAAACCAGAATTAGATAAAAAGCAAAAACACAAAAAGCAGAAACAAATAAAAATCAGAATATTTAAAAACACAATTAATTGTTTAGCTTAAAAACATTTTAAATTTTGTATTTAACTAAACAATTTTAAAAATAATTTTAAAAACTTTTGCTTTTGTTTTATTTGGCCGTCATTTATTGATTAAAGCATGACAATTTTGGTTTTAGCTTAGAAAGGAATTTTTTGTATTTGTTTAAGAAATTGTGAAATGATTAGAAAATAATATTTTTTCGATTTTAAATATAAAAATAAAAAATTATTTTCTATTGAAAAAGAAATTTTTTAAAAAGATAAAAAAGTAAAAAATGTTTTATAAGAAAAGATAAAATTCTGATGGAAACAGTCAAAAATGTTTAAAAAACACAATAAAAACACATCAGAATTATAAAAGAAACACAAAAATCAGAACGAAATACACAAAACAATTAAACTTAAAAACACACATTTTTAAAATTTGAAGATAATCAGAATTAATTAAAAATCAGAATTTAATTTATTAAACCAGAATTTATTTTATTAAAACACAAAAATTAGAAATAAAACAAATAAAAACACAAATTATGAAATCAGAATATAATCAGAATTATTAAAAGAAATACATTTTGTGTATTATAAAACCAGAATAAATTTAGAAATCAGAATTACTTTAAAACAATTCTAAAAATTAAAAATCAGAATTTAATTTATTAAAATCAGAATTAATTGAAAATCAGAATTAATTAAAATCAGAATTAATAAAATACAACTTAAATATGAAACAAATAAAGAAACACATTTTATTAATAAATTTACTATTAATTAAAAATGTGTTCAGAAAAATCAGGTTTTGTACTATTAAATATGGGACATACAAGTGTTTCAATTTGATTAGACAATGAAATGCGTTTTAGAGCAAAATATTTGAGCATAAAAAATACGGAAAAAATTTGAGAAAAAAATTAAATTTAAAAATTAAATTCCTTTTTTAATCTTACCTTTTTTTAACCCTTTTACCAATTTTTAATTTTTATCAGAGGAGAAAGAAGGATAAGGAGAAGCTAAAGGCAAAATGTTGCATTTGGGGAGATAAAACAAGAGTGCCTTAATATCGTTGCAATTTCGACCAATAATTTTTGTAATTAGTAAAACAATTGTAATAATAAATCATCTACAGTATCCAAAATATTTTTCAAAAATATTTATTTTATTTAATTTCCACTCATTTTGCTCAACAAACAACTAGAAAATAACCTTCCATTGTTCTCAAATTACTTTTGATGTTTATAAATTCCACTTGAATTCTACCAAAATTACTATATTCTTTATTTTTCATCTTTTATTCTAACATATTACCAGTATTGTAAAAATCTTTTTGGTTTTTGGGGGATTTATTCTGTCAAAATGGCGCCTATGACCACTTGACAGGAGAAGGGCAGCAGTTGAGTCTCGCCTTGTAACTCTTTAATAAATGGTCCGTTTCGGATGATTTTGGTATCATTCGATAGAGAATTAAATTCTCTATAAAATGACAAAAAATCAGAATTTTTGATTCTAGGAGGAAAAAGTTATAGTCAAAAAACTAACATTTTTCATTAAAAATGAAGAATTTTTCAAAGTTTTTTGACCTTAACTTTTTTCTTATTTTTTTAAAATTTTTATTTTCTAGTTATTATTGTAGAAAATTTAATTCTCTATCGAAAGATACCAAAAACTTGTTAAAAAGTTAATTTTTTAGCGAGATATTTGGACTAGAATACACCCACCCCGCTACTCAAATAATGCTCCACTTGACAATTTTTGTGACAAATAGAGGAAAGCCAAAAGGAAAAAAGAATACAAAAGCGTTAATATATTCGAGATAAGATGGAAAAAGGCTTAAAAGATGGATAAACTAAAATTACAAAAAGAAAATGTGTTAAAGAAGGGCGGGCAAATAGAAAAACTGAAGGGAATTTTAAGAAAAAGGTGATGTATGTTGGCTTAAGAAATTTTTTTGATGTTTTTTACTCTTGTAATTGGGATATTATTGGATATTATTCAATATTAGAAAGGTTATTAACAAGTCGGGAACAGGTAAAAAAAGAATTTTTTTCATTTATATGTTAATGTGAATTATCTGGTTTTTTAGGCAATTCATCATTAAAATTAAATACTATCCTCTATTTATTAAGTATTTCAATTTTATTCATAAAATACATATCATGACATTCAAACCTTGATAAATAATTAGACGATTTAATTTACTGTAATCATCCTAATATTTTCAATGGATTGTATTGGGATAGAAAAGTATTTTCACATTAAGCTCATTTACCCTAATTACCACAATTTTAATCCAATAATGTAAATATAATTTCAAATGTCGTTAATTTTAATATGTAAAATTTTTTATCTTATCAAAGCCTATTTATTTAGCTATTTTTCTTTATCATACGCCCTCTAATAGATCTACGTATTTTTTGTAATAATTACGTCCAGGTAATTAATAGAGAGGGGGGGGGGGAATTAATTAAAGATAAATTTGTATGAAAATTTTTCACGTCCTAGGCGCTCTCCAACAATATTTTGTAAAATAAGATTCGGAGAAATTTAAGCATTAGAAACACCCACCCTGATTAATTTAAATAAATTTACACTGTGAAAATGATAAATTTGGGATCATTTACTGAAAAGAAATTACCGTATTTATTCTAATAAAATGGCCCCTCCAATAGAATGGCCCCTATTTGGGGGTATCGAAAAATAGAGTGGCGGCCATTCTATTAGAATAAATACGGTATATTAATTTGCAAGGAATGTCTCCAATATTGTACCATAAAAGCCTTAAAGAATATTTTTAATATTCGAATATTTTCTTACTTTATGTGCAACGGAATGGGAATAAAAAATAAATTTGCATTAATAATTTTTGAAATAAAAAAGCCGAAAAAATTCAAACCCCCTAAGAAAGGTCAATCCTTTACCCTTCTAATCTCCAAGCATTGCGCGCAACTCAAGTGCCTATTTTTATTCGTCGTGCCGATGGGCGTGCAATTCTTTTTTTAAATGCTTATTTTACAGAAATTAAATTACAATATTATTTTTAAAAATTTTTTTTAAATTCACGAGATTATTTTAAATTACTATAAAATCTCTATATACTAGGGTGGTCCATAAGTTCGTTCGTTTTTTAAGCTGTCTCAGCTTCCGATCGATGGGACACTTTCTTCGTGGGCGGAGCTTCATGAGTTTGGAGGAGGTCGAGAATGGATGTAGGGAACTCTTTAATCCATAAAAATTTTTTAAAAAAGTGAAAAATTACGAAATAAATTGTATTTGATAGACAATTCTTTGCTGAATAAGATGAACTCAAGAAGTTTTAATTTTATCAATTCCAAGGTAAGATATAGACGATTATCTAGGACAGCATAAAAACGAACGACCTTATGGACCACCCTAGTAGTAATGCCACCTCCCAGTTCTGTGGAGAGTTGTTCTTTAATAGAAGAACATCCCCTTGAGAATCACACATTTTTGTGAAACTAAAGTTTTTCCTTATCTTAGAACCCTCAGGATATTTAAACAAAAATCCAACTTCCTGGATTAATATTCGTGTAAAAAACAAACCAGATTAGCACTTTATCAGTAAAAATAAACAAAACCAGAAAATCTTAACATTAGCTGCATCCCGAAAATCGGAATGCCCTTACCGTATATCCTTTAATAACTACCCTGGGTAATGATTGTTTCGACCTTCCGCTGGAGGGAGTAATTAATCGAGGGAGGGTAATTAAACGAGGTTTGAGATTTGAACGTGTTTTAGGACATTTGTTGGTGGGTAATTATTGTTTCAATCTATCGCTGGATGGGGTAATTAATTGAGGCGGGGTAATTATTCGAGGGAGGGCAATTAATACAGGTTATACATTTTTATTATGTTTCACTTATTTATTTATTGTCTGAAATTGTCGCGCTGGTGCGTATAAATATTATTATTATACGGTAATTTAAATATGAAATTTTTGTATTTAAAATTAGGAATTAATATAAATATAAATATGTTAAAATTTAATATTCAAAAAACTAGGAATATTAAATGGAAAGAATTAATCCGAATAATAATCAGCAAAAATATTTTCAAATATCATCTTCTACTATACAAAAACCAACAACAAACAATTCAAACAATAATTGGCAACAAAAATTAAAAACAAAAGGAAAATATGGGACAAAACCAAAAGTAGCTACACCTGCAGTTGTTGCTAAAATTGAAGCTTATAAGAGGGAAAATCCGACAATTTTTGCTTGGGAAATAAGAGAGAGGCTGATTGAAGAAGGTATAGAAAGAAAAATTAATTTTAAATTATAATAATAAAGTTAAAACTTGTTATAAAATACATATGTATAAGGGCTACTTTTTTTATTTTGAAAGGTTACCTAAAACATCTTTAGAGATAAGAAAAACCGTTAATGTATATAACCAGAACAATATTAAATTGGTTTGAATTCTAACCAAAGAAACAATGAGTAGTCAAATTAATATTTTATCAGTCAAATATTAAAGACAAATCATAAAAATCTGATTGCCTAGACCCAATGTAACAAAGTCACTTTGATTAGCCCTGTCTTAATCACACCGATCCAATTCAGATTAATGTGTGATCGGTTATTATCTGTGTATTCTTCCTTTCATTAAATGGTCAGACATGATGATTGTGTACCTTCCTAGTTCAAATTCGTTTTTAATTGGAACATTTCCATAGCTTTTACTTAAATCATAACAACACATAAAATTAATTTTAAAATCAGAATTATTAAACACAAAAACATTTATATAAAATTAATTCAAATTTTCAGCAGTTTGCCAACAACCTCCAAGCATTAGTTCAATTAACAGAATGTAATTTAAATAAATATTTTAATATAAAATTTTATTCCAAAGTTTACGAACTCGAGTAGCTGAAAGAGCAGCAGAAGAATTAAGTGCTATTATTATGGCACAAACAAAAACAAATTTAAATAATGGAATAGCTTCAAATACACCTTCCTCTTCAAAATATTCTTCTTTATTGTCTTTAAATAATTCTAATATTAATTTTAGTAAGAATATGGAATTTACGACTGTCAGAAAACATCGAGGACGACAACCAGGAAAAAACAAGCACATTGTAAATTTTAAATAGAAAACTTATTATAAGATTGCTACTTCTCCTTATTATTTGAGCTAGGGAGTATTTGAGCTTTTAGAAACCGCGTTTTTTCTTGTCTTCAGGCTTGATATCATGCCTGCCGTTTCTTGAAATTCGATTGACAACTCATGTAAGATACGTCAGAATCTGACACTTTTCAGTTCAAATTTGCTCTCGAATGCGTGGAGGAGATGAATAACCGATTGATGAATAGGAAATACCCCTCTTTGTGCTCCTTTTTAAGCCCTAGGAGAGCTCAGTTACCCATATGTACCGTATTTTCTTTAAAATAACCCCGGGGTTATTCTTTTCGATCGACCTCTAGAGGGGGGTTATTTTAGAAGGGGGGGGGGTTCATTTTAGAGGGAGGGGTTATTTTAGAAGGGGGGGGGGGGTTTATTTTAGAGGGAGGGGTTATTTTAGAGAAAATACGGTATATCGAAGGTTAAACGTATTTAAATAAATTAAATGTTAAATTAATTCTAAAATTTTTAGACGGTAATAAACGAGGAGAACAACAAAAATGTCAAAATAAATAATATTAATACAAATGGTATTCAACAAAACAATTTTGTTCACAACGCAAATCGGTAAATTTTTCAAATGTTTTTTTCAAAATAAAAATTTTTAAAGTAATCAAATACCACAACACCCAACAAACACAATTTCAATCCCTCCATTCATTCCCCCACCATATTTACAACCCCAATTAATTCCCCCATTACTACATCCATCAACATTTTTATTAAGTGGAATAATGGCCGCTACAATAATACAACAACAACAACAAATATTTTTAAAAAGGCAACAACAATTAAATGAAAATAAAAAACAATTAGAAGAAAATTACAGTAAAAGAGAAAATGAAAAAATAATAAATAATGTTGAGGATAATAATAAAATAAATCCATTAATTAAAAATCAAAGAAAAATGTTTCGTCCATATCTTTAGATAAATATAAATTTACCGTAAATATCTAATAAAAGCCCATCCCTAATAGAAGCCCATCCCTAATAGAAGCCCATCCCTAATAGAAGCCCATCCCTAATTGAAGCCCATCCCTAATAGAAGCCCATCCCTAATTGAAGCCCATCCCTAATAATAGCCCATCTGTTTTTTGAATGCCTATTTTTCTATTACCTTTGTTATAGTCGCATAAAAGTATTGATAACGAGATTCCAACGGCTTAAAATGAATATTGTAGTGAATTTGGGTGTAATATCGAGAGATATGAAGGATTAAGTAGGATTCATTACGAGGAATAGATTAAAAGAGATTTAGAAGCTTAAAGAGTATCAAAGTACCGTATTTCTTCTAATAGAACGACATGTCGTTTTATTTATCAACCTCCCTCTAGACTGTCGTTCTAATAGAGGGTTTCGTTCAAATAGAGGCTGTCGTTCTATTAGAGGAAATACGGTAATTGCGATTAAGAGAGGGATATAGTAAAGCAGCTGGGCTATAGCTATTTCTCTCCTTTAGCTAGTGCAAAATGTTATTCGGCGGCTGGGAGCGAACCAGCGTCTTCAGTAGACCGGACTGATGTGTTAGCCATTACACCACGCCGCCTACTGCTCAGCCTTAGGAAATTAAAAGCTATAGCTTTACAAGATATAGGGATTTTGTTAAATCCTTAATATTCATATAACGATGGGAGAATAAAAGGGCATCGTCAAAGCTATTTACAAGATAGGGAATCTAATAAGAGGGCATTGTCGACAGCCCAGATAAAGGTTGGCAATCCACGAAAAGAAATTTTGGACAGCTCATATTTAGATTGGTAAGCCAAAAGATCAAATCTTCAAAAGCCCTTATAAGGCTTGGTGAGCCAAATAAGGAAATCGGAAACGACTCATAGGAATTTGGCAAAATGAAGAAAGCGTCACGCCTCTAATTATGATAGGGAATCTAATAAGACGGAATTGTCGACAGCTTATATAAAGGTAACGAATCAAAGAAGATATACGACATAAATGAAGATTTACCCTTTATAAATATTCTCCTCTCAAAAATATAAATTTTTAAATAATGGTAAAGTTTTGGTGATTTCTTAATCGTTAAGCAGATAAATAAAAAAAAGTTGTGTGAATTGATATTTTCAAAGAGGTATCAAACAGGGCTGGAATCTACATCTTTAAGTTTTTTCACGATAAATTTGTTTCATCTGAAATTATTTTATTCTTATTTTATAAAAGACTGAATTTGAACTATCAATTTGAACTATCATTTTCAGAAAATTTAAATATTTAAAATTCCTAGAGGAAAATGAATTTTTTCCTTCTTGTTATGATAACATTTCTTCATTTGATGACCCATTTTCAAGTTACCAATGGAATGTTTCATCAAGAAGGTTTTTATTTTAAATTATGTTTATATTAAATTAAAATTTTGGCTAGTCTACTCAGCTCGACGAGCTATTTCGAATGAGCTATTATATGCTTTTTCGAATTTTTGACCCAAAAATCCGCCCTATAGTTTTTGACCATTTCGAGCCCTATATCTCGACTCAACTTGTTCAATCAAGCTGATTTTGGTGTCATTCGACTCGCTCGACGAGCTCTTTCGAATAAGCTATTATTTGCATATTCGAATTTTCAACCCAAAAATCGAGTTACTCCCCCCTATGGTTTTCCAATTTTCGGGAGCTATAACTCGGCCCAGAATCATTTCCTAAAGTTGAGAGTGGTACCTACCGTTCGACTCAGCTCGTCGAGACGAATCGAATGACATATGTCACGTCCCGAACCTTTACCAACGGTACACTACAATATATCCAAAATTTTATAGGAGAAAGTTCAAGCTCTAGAGGAAAGCAAGTTCAAATGCATCCAAGTCTCCAACCCTCTACCGAGTCTGGAATTCATTTTTCACTCGTTGAACTGTCAATTTTAATTCGCGTTTTGCGCTTTATTGACATTGAAACGATCAAAGGTTTCACAGATCCAAAAATTGATTTGGAGAATATTATTGAAGTGTATTGCGACAATGACTTTAATACTTTACAAATGGAAAATAAAGATTCGATTGGACGTATTTATGTTCAATTGAAAACTAAATTGACACAGGTGGAGTGTTTGTTGTGTTTGTTAGTATTTTTGAGTTTCACCCAATATCGGCTTTTTTTGCAATTATCACTGCTTTAGCTTCATTAGCTAACCAAATTTCTTTGTTGATTTACCTAATAATATTTTTAAGGTTGTTGAGCAATATAATGAGCATTTTCCGCATCATGCGATATGGGATGCGAACAATTCATTACCATTTAGAAATTCAATTATTGCCGAGGGATTGAAAGAATATAGTTCAAAAATGGATTTAAATGATTTTCGTTATTTTTTGAGTACAAGTGGAATTTTGCCCCCAAATTGGGAAAATATGGATCTTCAAACTTTGTTAACTAAATCTAGTGAAATGACGGCATATTTAAGGTTAATAATACTAGGGATTACTCAAAATCTTCTTTAATCCATCAGAACCCCCTTATGTACCTCAATATCTCTCCAAATCACCCATATCCCTCTTAAACCTTTTCAACCTTAATAGAATATAGTGACTCATTTGGTATTGTGCTTTGAAAGACAGTGCCAAGCAGTGATGGGCAAAGTTCCAGTTCCAGTTCGGAACTAATTAGTTCTAGTTCCAGTTCTAGAACTACGGAACTAACGATTACCTGGAACTAGCTTGGAACTGGAACTACGGAACTAGTAAATGTCTGAAACTAGCTTTGGAACTAGTTCTGGAACTAGTTCTTGGGGGTATATTTTTGACAAAATTTCCTCGACGAAGTCGATGTCACATACAAATCTCACCATATATTGAACTCTCCATATATTATATTATGGGTTCTTTTCTCCATATATTATTAATCCTTTTTAATCGTAATAGACTATAGAGACTCAATGGGATATATACAAGGGAGATAATAAGCTAAGACATTTTTGACCAGACCTGGTCATGGATACGGATTTTGCTATCCGTATCCGGATTATCCGTAGGGTCAATATCCGTATCCGTTTGTATCCGTCCAACTTTTGAGTCATATCCATCCGCGGGTATCCGGATATTATCCGTATCCATGACCAGGTCTGTTTTTGACTTATCTCCAGTTCAAAGTCATATCTAAGCTGAAAGATCAATTGACAGAGTATTTGATGAGTTTTTTTCATATTCAAAAAAATTAAAAGTTTGGAACTAGAACTAGCTTGGAACTTGTTCCAGAACTGGAACTAAGGAATTTTAACAATGGAGTTCCGGAACTGGAACTGGAACTAAAGAAATTAAAAACCTAGTTCTGGAACTGGAACTAGTTCCAGAGAATTTTGGAACTTTCCCATCACTGGTGCCAAAAACAATTACATTTTATGCAGGAGAAGGGAAGGGGGGGGGCGTGTCGACGCAGAAGACCCACAGACAGAAGACCCAAGGACAGAAAACCCACAGACAGAAGACCCACGGACAAAAGACCCACAACCATTTTTCTTATTTTTATTCAATTGTGCTTTCATATTGGCTCCTTACCTATGGTCTCCGTGGAAGTTTTGCTGTTGAGGAGGATGCCAGGCATGCCAATCACAGCGATATTTGGAATAGGATTAAGTTACGAGCCCAGAACCTAGCGACCGTTGATTCCCTGCGAGACGCGTGCCGCAAAACCCCGCGCGAAGCGCGGGGTTTTGCACAAGCGTCTCGCCGACGTCCCATAGGTTTATGTTGTTTGATTTTTGTATCGTAACTTTGTCCAATCTTGTTCTTTTAAACTTTTATTAAAAATTTTTCCTTGTGGGTCTTTTGTCCGTGGGTCTTCTGTCTGTGGGTCTTCTGTCCTTGGGTCTTCTGTCTGTGGGTCTTCTGTCACTACGCCGGGGGGGGGGGGTATTTTTACAGGGTGTCATTTTGAGCGAGAGGTATTTTTTCGACAAATCTAAAGGGGTTTATTTAGCGGAAATACGGTATTTATTTATTGCAGTAAAACATACCAAAGAAATTTGTACAACGAGTGTAAGAAATTATTGCAAAATACATACAATGTCAAAAGAAATATTTACCTTCTTTGGCAATTTTTTGCCCTAGCTCGTATGCTCATTCGACAATTTATACAAAACAGTAATCCTGACTACGTCAATTTATTGTCACAGTTAGAGGCAAATAATGCGTATGTTTTTGTGTTTTTAATTAAACTTTGTATTATAATAATTTAAAGACATGTTTCGAAAGTAGATTATCTTAACGATTATGATTTTCTTGAAATCAAAGCTAACTATTGGATGCATCAATTTTCACAAATGTTGAATGTTGAAGAAATATTGAATAATCTTGGTCTTGGGTTTACTGGTAAAAACATTTAAATACTGTTGAGTGTAAACCAGAGGTGGGGGAAAAGTTAGAGGTGTCGGAAATCGGAAGAGCCGGAAATCGGAACTGGCTCAAAAGTTTTAATTTTGGAAGTACAAGAGTCGATTTGTAAGTACTGTACTTCCAAAATAAGTACAAATCTGACCCTGATTTTAAATCCGAATTTGCCGTCAGTTATCATCCGGATATGTCATATATTGTATTACCGCCTCTACTTAACTGCATTCTTATTTATTTATTATTTTGTCTTAGTTCTACCAGTAACGTGGTTGAATTTCGTGGAAAATCAAGGTTATTTGGGTATTCTATCGATTGATCAGACTATTGAAAATGTTGGTAATTATGGGATTTTAATGGACATGATTTATTTAAAACCAGGTTTTTATATTAATTTCTAAACCAGTAAATATACGTATTAAAAATAATTAAATACAGTAATTTTCACTAAATTTCACTGCAAAAATTTAATAATTTCAGTTCTAATTTTTAACGTCGTATAAAATTTTCCGTCATTCTAGTGTTAACAGTGCTGATATATTTTATAAATTTATTTTCCCTATTTTGAGAAGTTATAAGAGATTTCATGGTTATTTTTACATAAAAATCAAGTCTCTACTAAGATATGTTTTACAAAATTCCATAAATAACATAACCTATTTTTAGAAAATTTCTTCAAAATTCTTAAGTATTCATTAGAAATGATCCTTAATAAAAAATAAAATTATTAAATTTAGTTGTTAGCCCTATTTTACTTGAATTTGCATGTAAAAGATTTATTTTGAAATGCAACCAACCGGATAGTTCCCAAAACTTTCATGTTTTATATGATAGTTTGGAGAATATGCAAAAATTAGCAATTGATCAACACGCCATCGACTCATTATTGACTGGAAAATTTTCTGAGACACAAATAGAATACACTGAAGAATATGTAGATATTACCATACCATTCGTTTTGCCACAGAATCACACCAGTCTTGTTGAGAAGGTAGGATCGGAATTATCTAGGAATTTGTAAGCAATATTGGTGGATTTCGACGGATTAATGAGTAATGAAACAGAGGTTCAAGAGGAAGATCAGTGGATTGGGAGGGATTAAGTGGATTTAATTGATATCGGGTGATTGAGGGAGAGATTATAATCCGAATGAATTATCGGGAAAAATACATTTACCTTTGAAAATTTTAATCGAAAAAATAAACCGGTAAAATTCCGTCATATGTCCCGGAAACCGATTCGGACAAATGATATGTCATTCGAAAGAGCTCAACGAGCTGAGTCGAACGACACCAAAATTAGCTGGGGGACTCACCTATGGGCCGAGATATAGGTCCCCGAAAATCGAAAAACCAAAGGGGGGGTGAGCTCAATTTTGGGGTGAAAAAATCGATTTTTTGAATGATAGCTCATTCGAAAGAGCTCCTCGAGCTGAGTCGAATGACAACAAAATCAACGAAATCCGACATGGTTTGACAAAGTTATGACAGTTTTTTTTAGCTCCGTAACTATGGTCTCCGTTGAAATTTTTACTGCTGCGGAGGAAGCCAGGCATGCCCACCTCATCGTGATAGGAATAGGATTAAGTTACGAGCCCAGAACCCAGCGACCGTAGACTCCCCGCGAGGCGCGTGCCGCAAAACTCCGCGCGAAGCGCGGAGTTTTGCACAAGCGCCTCGCCTACGACCCATAGGTTTATGTTGACCAATTTGAGCCTGTTTATCTTGGCTCAAAATCAAGATCTAGAGCTGATTTTGGTGTCATTCGACTCAGCTCGAGTAGCTCTTTCGAATGAGCTATCATTCAAAAAATCGATTTTTTCACCCCAAAATTGAGCTTACTCCCCTCTTTGGTTTTTCGATTTTCGAGGACCTATATATCGGCCCATAGGTGAGTCCCCCAGCTAATTTTGGTGTCATTCGACTCAGCTCGTTGAGCTCTTTCGAATGACATATCATTTGTCCGAATCGGTTTCCGGGACATATGACGGAATTTTTCCAATAAACCTAAAATTTTATTAAGATTCGTCATAAATGCAATGAACTAGTAAATCCATTTAGTGGACAGAGCAGTGGTGGAGGACATTAAAGAGAAAAACAAAAATTTGAGGATGGAAATCTTTTTTGGGTCTTGGGTCTGGAAGTCGTAAAAGAAGTTTTTAAATTTGGGGTTTTAGTTTAAAAGTAAATTATTTAGTAGAGACCGGACCGATACGATAAACGATACCGATATTATCGATCGTAAATTTTTAATTTTTTCGATATCGATACCGATATTATCGATTGATCACTCAAGTCCGGTCTCTATTATCTAGCACCAGTAGCTAGCCTTAGAGAAATGTAAATATTGCGTAGATGTCATCTTTCTCTTTCAAAAAATTTAGGTTTAAAAATAGTTTAATTAATTATGATAATTGTACTTAGTGTTCAGAAAATAAGAGAAAAATGTTCTATGCATTATTTTTAAATTTGTGATTGAGATAAAAACTGGGATTTTTCAAGTAAAACATTTTTGGGAAATTTAAAACATTTGGGAATTTATTATATACTAGAATTTGAAATTTGTAAAATACTGGATCCGGTTTCGGGATTTTAAATTTTTGATCACATCGGGTATTTTATTACATTTAAGTTTGGCTCGGAAAGCCTGTAAAAACACACAAAACATCCAGTATATTACTGGCAACTTTTAAAGTGTTAAATGAGGCCGATTTAGCGGTCTTGGTAGGAAACACTAAATGTAGTTTTTAGCTTTATTTTCTGATATTTATCATTAAATTGTTTTTATTTTAAACTCGATAAATTGAAGAAAATTTGTTTTTTTAATTTTATTAAAAATATAAAAATAACAAATATAAAAACATGTTATGTGGAAATTAAAATAATTTATTAAAGATTTTATTTATTCAAAAGCAAAATAAAAAATTAAATTTGTCAATCCTCTTCCTTAAAAATACCTTTATTTAAAAATTACTGTATATGCTCAACTAATTGCCCCTCTCGATTAAATAACCCCTCCAGTGTGAGGGGTTACCATTAAAAATGCTTAAACGTCATGGGTTTAAAAAGTTAATAAGAGAGTTGTAGATTACATTATTAGGTAAAACTTTGAAAACCAAAATTCATAAAGGAATTGAAGGCAACTGTAAAGAATTGTAGATTTCTGGAGAGATTTTTATTTAAAACTCTGAAATGTTTTTATTTTCTACGAATTTTTCGATTAGTATATTCGGAAAACATGTCGAAACATTCCATTGTATTTTGATAAATTACTATTATTGTAAAGAATAATAATTTTAATTTATTAAAATAGCCTTTCCCGGGCTTTTGATGTGTGCCAAAAGCCTTTAATAAATAAAATTATAATTAAATTGAAAAAAAAACTTTATGTCAAAGAAAGAATTAGCACCTTTCTGTTTTTATTGTTGACACTTTAAATGTCTGTTATTGACTCTCCAACTTAATAAAATCAGTAAAAATATAGAGAAATAAAATTAAAAGCAGGTTATTTACTAAATAAATACACCCAAATTAATCAAAATTATTTATATCATCGGACGTCTTAAACTTATTCAATGCCGAAAATGTTATTTTCATTTTTAATATTCAAATCCCTAAGAAATGCTTTTATTATCTTTAATATATGATGATACGAGCATTTTTTGGAGTTTTTAATTTATGCTGAGTCTGAGAATAAATATCAAACTCAAGCAGCCAATGAAAACAAGATATTTTAAATTTTGTACATTTAATTTTTTAGCAAATAACTATTTTTAAATTCTTATTTTTCATATTAGATTTATAAAATTAAATTAAAAAATACTAATTTTCTTCAATTTATCAACATTTGTTTAAAATAAAAACAATTTAATGATAAATATCAGAAAATAAAGCTAAAAACTACATTTAGTGTTTCCTACCAAGACCGCTAAATCGGCCCCATTGAACACTTTAAAAGTTGCCAGTGATATACTGAATGTTTTTATATATGTTTGTATATCAAAAGGAAAAATAAATTTAAATTAGAGGTAAAATTTTAATTTTCTGTTAGGGGCTTTAACTCATTATTTAACAAAAAAGGCCCAATTATATCTCTAATTTAATTATCTCCAGTTGTAAAATTTTTCTTTTTTGATAAAAAAAAGATATCAGAGAAGGGAATTTTGGAATATATTTTTAAACAAGAAAGTACCACAAATCTCCCAAAAATGCACGAAAGGCTGAAATATGCAGAAACATCATCTCAACTAGGTCCTCAAATAAAAAGACAAACATTTTTGAGTTCTCTAAAGTTAGTATTACTAAACAAAACAAGAATTTGCATATATTTCCCAGCCCTAGCAATAAATAAATGATAAATCTAAAAGTTTGTAATTTCTTGAATTTTCCGAATCGAAAATTTTTCCTCAATAATTCCCTTGCTTCACAATTAGATTGCAACCATTTAGAATCTAAATATATTTCTTTTAATTTTCATATATTTTAAAAAATCCATACTAATTCAACAAGCCCATGACGTTTCTGAATCGGCATTACTCGGTCATACCCAATATGTTGGGTATTTTCTTGTAAATATTCCTGTTGATTTAAACTCATTTCATGAACCAAAAAAGGGTTAATAATTATTTGTTCAAGTTTTTTCTGAATTTCGTTGTCCAAACCCTCATATAATTGATAAAATGTTTGTTCTGAATTTAAATTATATTTTCCGAAAATTGTGTAGCATTCATTGCTTGTCAACACGCCATCAGTTGCTAAAATTTTAGAGATTTTTTTTCAATTTACTACTTTAATTTAATCCGAATATTGAATAATGTATGCCTTAAATGTACTTTTTTCGTTTTGGTTTAATCAGTTATTAGTTTCTTTGATTAAAATCCTCTCAGGACCCGAAATTCCGAAATGCTAGATATATATATGAATACTTAAGAAACTCATTGAAACTGAATGTATGAAACTCATATTAAACTCCATAATTGCTGTTTTAAATAAATACCAAAATGAAGATATAATAAACGGAAATGTGTTTGCACAGTCACATCACTATCAGCCATAAAAGATGCTGGAAATATTATGTTTTCTTGACTATTTTCCGCTTCTTGAAGAGACATTAACATTCTTTCTCTTGCTAAAAAGTTTATAAATTATTTTTTTATTTTAAATTATTGCTTACTATATACAATTCCGTTATACATGAATTTAACATTTTCTCTTTGAAAAATACTCAATTGTTTCAATATTTCCATCCAATTATTTGCTTTAATTTCCAATTCATCATAAGCTTTTATATAGCCTAGAATTGAAATCTTCTCTCTAAATTAGGTAATTTTAAATTTAAATAACTAATAAAAGAATACTTTAAAAAAGCACTATATCCATTATCTCTCATCAATTGCCAAATACTCAACAAAATACCATCATAATAACTTGGATATTGTTTATAAAACAATATAAACGAACGAATTCTACTTCTAGCAAATGCAAATAAATGCCAAATAATGAAAATATTTTTTTCCGAATTTTTTATTCTTCTCAAATGGGCGTACATTCTATCTATTACTGTTATACTAAATATAAATTAAAATATTAGATCAGTTAATTATTACCCTTTTTCATGCAAAATTGACATAGCAAGTTTATACAATTCATCAGCTGAGATGTAAGGATCTTCATACCAGTTATTTAAAGCTTGCTTATAATTGAACGTATTAAATATTAAAATCTTATATTGATCTATATTCATTGTTAAACTTAAATCTTTCATTCTATTATTAATAAGTTCGAATTTAGCTTTTTCATCATTGCTATAAGCAGGAATTATTTCATTTAATAGATAATTGTAGTAAATTATAACCTTTAAATTTAGAAGAAATTATTTTTTAAATAACGGAATAAATTACGGCTGTCTATTATATATCTTAGGAAATCTTTGGGTATCTGGATCGGATCGAAAAATGTTTTTATTTTGTGAATTTGTGCTGATACTTAAGGGATAGGTCGGCATTTCTAAACTGAAAATCAGTAGAGAAGGTTAAGTTTATGATATTGTCGTAGAACCTAGCGTCCGAGAATAAAATAATCGCTATCAATTTTTAAACTTAAAGCTTTCATTCCATAACCTTAAAATTCAAGAAAATTATTTTTTAAATAACGGGACTACTTAAATATACTCATTTCTTTGAATAGCTTAAGATATCTGGCTGTAAACCGGAGAAATATTTTTTTCCAGTTGCGTCAATTAATTAAAAATGTTTCGTTTTTAAATCTGACAAAAGTATGTTAAAAACTAAAAATATTTTACAATTTTTGATAAAAATATTTTTAGGTCCGACAATACTTTTTTAGAAACAGAATAAATATATTAATAGTTTTAAGCAAAATTGCAACTTGCATTTAACTTTACCTGATTCAATTTATCAAATGTCCCATCAACTACCGGAGAATTAATTAAATTTGAATCATTAAATCCAGAAATATATTGTTCCAAGAAATCATGCATTACTAAGTGTAAATCTCTGTTTGGGTTATTGATAATTGTCGCAAAGTCAATATTACGTAATATTTGCACTAAAATGGTCAATTCGACGAGAGAAAAATTTAGTTTAGGAAATTCAGGTTTTTGAAAACTTTGAGCAATTTCTTTTCCTTTCCTTCTTGATGGGCCTTCCATTACTTGTTTTCCTTTATCATGTCCTTAATATTTTATTGTTTAAATAAAATTTATAAACAAATCCCAGGTTACATAACTTTGACTATATTCTTTAGTAAAACTTGTTTTGAGGGCTCAGATCTCGATTAGTTCAAGATATATGTCATACGAAAGAGCTAGTTAAGTTTGTAGAATGATAACTAGAGACAGGATTTTTAGGCACGATAAAGTTAAAAATAGGCGCCTATATAGGCACTAACAAACTGCCAAAATAGGCACTAAAATTCGAAAAAAGGCAAAATAGGCAGTATTTTTTCGAGGGTTTCTGGTCTAAAGTGAATAAATTTATCAAAAAAGATAGATTTAAGCAATAAACTGTTAAATAAATTAATTTTGACGATCAGAATTACATATAAATTAATTTATATTAATAATTTTGTAACCAAAAAAAATTTGATAGATTTTTCAGAAGAAAATTTTTCCCTAAAAAGATTTTTTGACATAATTTTTTTGAAAAATTTTATATTTTTTACCGAAAATAATTTTTTAGACAGAAATTTTCTCAAAAAATGCCCAAAAATTTGCAAATTATAGTAAAAATATGCAAAATAGGCTGAAAAAAGGCAAAATAGGGCATTTAGGCAGAAAAAGTTAAAATAGGCAATTTTAGGCAATGATAAAAGTAGTTAGAAACTTTATTTCAGTAAAATAACACCGGATGTGAACGTTTCAGCTGGAGGCCTATCTAGGAAAAAAAACAGGCATTTGCCTAAAAATCCAGTCTCTAATGATAACAAATAGCCAGCGGTTTCAGTTATTGGCCGAGATACAGACTTTCGAAAAATGAAAAACTATAGATGTTTGGGGTGAAAAATTCGAATATTAGTAATAGTTTATTTTTTCCAATCTAAGTCTCGGACGACCGACCTAGAGTCTTGATCCACAAAAAATAGACTCATTATACACCCTAAGGAATAAATTTTTTGTAAAAATTTTCTAAGAAGGAAGTTGTTTACTCCCTCCATATTCATAAGATACTAGAGTACCGGATCAAATATTGAGTCCGCTCCAACCCCGCACCTAGGCTGTTAGTGAATGTAAATTGAGGTCCGCCTAAGATAAAAATCTATTGCAAACAAATTCTAAGAAATTTAATTCGAAAAAAACTTACCGCGATCCATTCCATCCGTAAAAAGTATTTGAAATTGGTTTATGACAAAATAAAATAACAAAAGCAAAAGTAATTTTTTCATTTTTTGAAAACTTTATGGCTTTCTGTAGAAAAGAAATTAAAGAAAAACTTTAAAATATCATTAAAATATTACATTAAAAATAGCTACTGTTCTCATAAATAGCTACAGTGTTTATTACCCTCCTCAAAGGTAAATTGTAAAAGTAATTATGAGAAATAGGATCTTCAGGCTGCCAACATTGGGCACGAACCTGCCCACTATTACGGACAAATCTTGGGCAGCACATGTTGAGGGAAAGCCGAGTCTTTTTTGATAAACAAACTTTTACCTCAAGCCGCCCATTCCTGCTGTAAGGAATATAAATTAAGGTCCTACTAAGTAATGTATACATATACTAGAAAAGCTATTCACCCCAACGTCTTTAAAATTTTGTAAAAAAATATAAGTAAATGAATGAATAATAACAACAAAATGACTGGCTTAAATGCTAACAGATTTACAAATGGATGCGCACCGAGTCTCGCAATATAAATAAGCCCGCCCACAAATTATTAAACAAATGAGTCTCAAAATAAAAATCAAGTTTGCTCTAAAATATTTATTTGTTAAAATAAAAAAATTATTTGTTTAGTTAATTCAATTATTATTTAAAATATTGTTTTGTATTATCAAAAAACTCTCCTTATAACAATTGTTAATTAAATTTATTGGAACTCTAATGTTCTTTGATGGATATAAGCTTACGTGTATATACTTACAAGTACATGTATGTGTTTACAAGCTATCCCAATGCTCTCCCCTTAATAAATTTTAAATTTAAATTAAGATGTAGGTTGGCAATTAATGATTTTGAAAGATTCCCTCTCCTCATTAAGTTTATTTTTAGAGAGAGAGAGAGAAAGAGAGAGAATATGTACTTTAAAAAAGGCAAATTGATTTTTAAGAGTAAATAATAATTAAAAGACGTGACTATGTTTGAATGTTCATGTAAAATTTTGAAGGTTTTGGAGAAAATCGAGGTCCTTTAGACGACAAAAACAAATGACGTTGAATTTCGGTCTCAACCAACTCAAGCGAGCCCCATGTACTTATAATAACCGTGTAGCAGAATGATCAAAAGTTACGACAAAAATGGGTGAAATTTTAAAATATTTATGATAATATCTAAATCCGGCGACCAGACAAAATTTTTATTCATATCCGATGTTTTTCGGGATCCACTTTTCAAAATTAAATCCAGATTCAGAGCACGAATAATTATTTTGCCGTTTTCAATATCCTATAATTATCCGTCAAGATCGTCCCAATACTGTTCTGTAATAATAAAATTTCACCATTTTTGTCGCAATTTTTGAAAATTATGCTACATGGTTATTAAAAGTACATGGTGCTCGCTTAATTTGGATGAAACCGAGATTCAACGTCATTTGTTTCTGTCGACTAAAGAGTCCGGATTTTCTCCAAAATCTTTCAAAATTTTACATGAACATTAAAACATAGTCACGTCTTTTAATTATTATTTACGCTTAAAAATCAATTAGCCTTTTTTTAAAGTACATATTCTCTCTCTTTCTCTCTCTCTCTCTAAAAATAAACTTAATGAGGAGAGGGAATCTTTCAAAATCATTAATTGCCAACCTACATCTTTATTTAATTTTTAAAATTTATTAAGGGGAGAGCATTGGGATAGCTTGTAAACACATACATGTACTTGTAAGTATATACACGTAAGCTTATATGTATCAAAGAACATTAGAGTTCCAATAAATTTAATTAACAATTGTTATAAGGAGAGTTTTTTGATAATACAAAACAATATTTTAAATAATAATTGAATTAACTAAACAAATAATTTCTTTATATTAACAAATAATTATTTTAGAGTAAACTTGATTTTTATTTTAAGACTCATTTGTTTAATAATTTGTGGGCGGGCTTATTTATATTGCGAGACTCGGTGCGCATCCATCTTTCAATTCTGTTAGCATTTAAGCCAGTCATTTTGTTGTTATTATTCATTCATTTACTTATATTTTTTTACAAAATTTTAAAAACGTTGGGACACTCAGCTTATATTATTACACATACATTTATATTTTTCTCTAAAAAAATTTAAAAAGACGTTAGCTTTGTATAGCGTTTTTAATTTTAAACATACGTTACTAATACCTCTAATTTATATGTATATCCTCCTCACTTTAGATGAATAATTATATATCCTCTTCAGTTACAAAAGGGCTACGGTCGGGTTTTAAAATTTTAATTTTGGTCGAGTTTAAGGCCGGAATATGTCCCAGTTTTTGGTCTTGTGTCTGGTCTTGACGAAAAATGGTAGGCGTGAAAAGAATATTAAGCTCTACTTCTTCACAAGAACAAAACTTTCCCTAAGACTCAAGACAAAATATTAACAAGACTTAGTATCGGGCTATGTAGGCCCGACGTAGACCCCCGGCCTTCCAAATTCTCAAAAATTCGCTTATGGCGTTAAAAATGGAAGAAATCTAAGTCCTTTGTCTTCCATAAATCTCAAAATTTTCTCCAGCGGCTTAAAAATCACTTTGACTGGCCTTTATAATAAGAAAATACCCACAGAACCACCTTAATTTTCGGCGTTTTTAATATTTGGTTGGCCATTGATGTGTTTGGATAAACGATATGTTCCATTTGGTTATACCAAAGTGAGGTCTTTGTTTAACTAAGAATAAA